GACTCGACGGCACATAACAACAACAACAACAACAAACTGGAACTATCAATAAAATACATAACTACCTAGGTAGATTAATCCATGGGGAGGGAGTAAATAAAAAAGTATTAGTATCAGGAGAGACAGAGGTGACGTTACTTAAGAATGCCTACAACTATTAAAAAGAAAGAACCACTATTATACACAAAAACATGAACGACTAGATGATTATGCTATGTAAAGAAAGCCATAAAACAGAGTACTTTTTAAAGTAGGTAATATTTAAATTTTTTAATAGTGTAAACTCATCAAAAGCAAAAGGAAACAGATTAGTTGTCAAGTCCAGGAGCACCAGTCAAGGGACACAAGAATGGGGTCATTAAAGGACTTGCAAAAATGTTGGTTGTTAATGGGTATATTTATCATATTATCAAATGCATGGTTTATGTACAGTTTATCATATGTCAATTATATACATCAATACTGAAAACCAAATGGACAGCCACGGACTTGATCCCATGAGGCAACCCTCCCCTGCGTTTTTGAAGCTATATATCTTTATGGGAGGAGACTGCACACCTTTCTTTCCAGAAGGAGCTGATGAACTCCAACCACTGGCCTTGTGGGTAAGAGCGCAACAAATAATTCAAAGCAAATAAATAATAGCCCCAAGGTCCTTACAGATCAATAGTTTGTTAAAATTGGTATTAGTGATCCAGGCAGTAGTTTTTTCAGGAGACTGTATTCTGAACAGGAGGTAAAGAGGTAAAGATAAGTGAGGACAGATGTTTCTCTCAAGAAGCTCATTTTCCCTTTAGAAGTTGGTCATCTGGAGACAGGAAATAAGTGAGGAGACTACGACTAATTCACATAAATAGACTAAAGAACTATTACTACATGTGATTTAAGAGGAGACAAGTTTGAGCCAGTCACTGGAGTGAAGTAGAAAATTCAGGAGTCAAAAACCTGCTTGCAAAATTTAGGATGAAAAATCCAAGAAAGAAGGAAGGACGGAAGGAAGGAAGGAAGGGAGGGAGGGAGGGAGGGAGGGACAGAGGAAGGAAGGTAAGTAAGTAAGTAAGTAAGTAAATAAATGTATTCGTTCGTTCATTCATTCATTCATTCATTCATTTATTTTGGTAAAAGGATCTTTATAACTGCAAATGAAAATGTGCTTTAAGACTGTATCTGGGCAAAGGATATAAGGGTAGACTGAAGAATTAATGAGATTTAAGTATGTTATTCTTTATTTTTCTTTTCAGGGAAAGATGAGATGTGAGAGAAGTAGGATGAATAAGAAGAGGGATACAGCTTCGGAAAAGTCACCTGTCCATAAAAATTAAAATGAGAGTTGGAATGAATACTTGACCTTAGTCCATTTTTAGGAAACAAGAAAGGATATCAATGTGGAAAAGAATTGTTATTCAGTGGTCCTTTCCAGTTTGACTACTCTTTTTATCTACTTATATTTCACTTGTGTTAAACTTTCTATAAGGACCCTTGGTAGTACAGTGGTAAACATCCTCAGCTGCTAACTAAACCATTGATACATAAAAAGGAAGATGAGGTCATCTGCCTGCATTAAGATTCACAGCCTTGGAAAGCAGATGAACAGTTCTGTTCTACTCTACCGGATCACGATGAATTACAATTGATTTGATGTCAGTGTGTTTGGGTTTTTGCTGTATCTTTTTTAAACTTTTTAATCTTTCTGTGTATTCACACTCTCCTTTCCTTCAATACACCACACACTTTCAAGGAATTCTTTAACACTGATGGAGAATATTTCTACCATGCACGTGAAAATAGAGAAGAATTTAATGAATAGTGATATTCTATTATCTATCTTTAGCAAATCTTCACATAATATCATATTTGCCTCTGTTAGAAAAATCCTTCAACCAAAGATGGCCTTTTTGCCAGGAAAGATTTCATTACCAGCAAACTTCCACATACTCGCTTATTTTCAGCATTTCATATATTTCATGAATAATGCCCACAGTACCTCTGAGACCTTCAGGTATTAGTGTGGGTAGGCACAAATCAAATATGGCAAGAAATGGCCACTGGCGAGCTAATTAGGTAGTTCCCCTGAAGTGAAATGTTAATATATTAAAGCCATGCAAATTAGATCAGACCCACAGGTCCGAGTTGGGGGGAAAAAAGCTTTGGTAAAGTATGAATTTTTAATAAAAATAGTAATTATGGCTTCCAGCACTGATATTGTTTTTCTTTAGTATTTTAAAACTCATTACGTCTTTGGCAGTGGTATATATGGGGAAGGCTAATGTAAAATAATTTTTCTTCAAATCGTCTACAATTTCTCAAGCTGAAAGCCAGTTCTTTGTTTCTAAAGATAAAAACTTTATTTGCTAACAAATCATCTGTTCACTCTGAAAATTGGTCATTTGTACAGTACCTGCCAAAACAGACTGTGCGCATCTCCTTTCAGAAGTTCAACTGTGTCCCCTGCCTGGATGTGTAGTGGGGGCCCTTCTTGAAGAGCGGGGGGTGGTGTTCCACTATAGTTTCTGATGACCTGCATCTTGGGTAAGCCTGGAAAGAAAATAATGGAAGTTCAGCAGTGATAGAATAATAATGTGTGAAGTCCAAATGCACTTAAAAAAACAAGAGCTCTTATTAACATTAAAATTGTTTCAATAACACCATGCCCAAGTAAACATTTGAAGTAAGTACAATGGAATGCTTTTCAACTTTCTCATTATTTGAGATGGTAATGGAATAAGACACATACTCATCCCTTGATCCCTTACACACTTTTCTTCTCCCTCACCATCAATCTCTTTTAGTTGAAAAAACATTTCTTTAGCAGCGGTTGCCTGCTTCATAAAAAACACATCACGTACAGTTTAATGGAAAAGAATCAATTTTCTCATCAAGCCTATCCTTTCTGCCTATTACTTTCCTCTTGGGCAGTGGCTGATTTCATCACTAAGGAGGCTCACCCCTTCTGTGTATGTATCACATTGCCCAGTATAAGGCTCATATCTTAAGGTTATCTTTGTAATTCAAAAGCAAAAAAGGTGATGGATGTGCCACTGTAATACTTAAGACATTTATATGGAGAAACTCTTCAGGCTCAAATTTAGGCTTGCAAAACAGACCCAATAAAGGGAACATGTCTGAGTCAATAGCATAAATAGTACTTGAAGAAAACAGGGCCATCCTTTTTCTTTGTGCTTCTCTGAATGTGCGATAACAGCCTAAGTTCAGCATCGTCAACTGTGCAAGAGTCTAAACACACAGATATAGACCACAACAGGACAACCTCACAGTCACCTTTTAATTTAGAGATGAAACTGCGCTCGTCTAAGAAAGATCACTCAGACACACATGTGTTAGACATTCCGGAGCATAAATCCTTGCTTATTACACTTAGAGAAAAAATGTGATGAGGTTTATTTATTATAATGTGCCCACAGTGAAGCTGCCACTGGCAGAAAACGCCTCACTAAATGTATAAAGGAAGATGAATGAATGTCACTAGGTTCTATATGTCCACGTTACCGAGGAAAGGCTCCAATTCCAGATGAAATGATCCGGCAAACAGTCCATTCAAGCCCTCACAATCCTTTTTCAACAACAAGCCCACAGGGAGGGAGAACATTCCAACAAACAGTGTTGCTATAAATTAAACAGAGCTAAATGAAAAGCTTTAGTCAACAAGTTAGCAATCCAGTCAATCAGAAGGCAAAAAGGTTGAGAAGTATGGCTCCCTTCACCCCAATTTAACCACTGTGGTTGCTGAGGCATGTTAGGAGTTGCTCCATCTCCCTGTGACCTCAGCCCACATGGCACAGTACCCCTGAAGAGATAACTTTAATCTCATGTCTTTCATGGAGTGATTCTTCTATCAGATGTTACAAGGTGGTACCCCAACATAAACAGCTGATTTATTATTTCTCCTCCTAAACAGCACCGGACAAGCAAACTCCCTACTGTGAAGTGTCTATGAGCCTTGTTCTCTACTACATACTGTCAGCGACTTGAGTATTTGTGCCAGCACCATGAAAAGAGATTAAGGTTGTTAACAATTTCAGACTACTTGGTTCCACAATCAACCCTTGGCACCAGCAGTCAGGAAATCAAAAGATGAATTGCACTGGGGAAGTCTGCTGTTAGGAACCTCTCCAAGAGTACTGAGGTGCAAAGATGTCAGTCTAGAGACTATGGTATGCCTGATCCAGTCCATGGTCTTCACAATCACTTGCTATTCATCAGGGAGCTGGACAATGACTAAGGATGACAGAAGAAAAATAGATGTCTTTGAGCTGTGGTGTTGGAGAAGATTATTGAACATACCATGGGTCTCCAGAAAAAAAAATAGGTCTGTCTTAGAGAGAGTGAAACTAAGTTTCTCCTTGGAGGCTAGGATTTTGAAGCTCTATCTTACATTCTTTGGACACATGGCCAGGAAAGACCAGTCTTTGGAGAAGAATATTATGCTTGGAAGGGTAGAGAGACAGTGCAGGAGAGAAAGACCCTAGATGAGATGGACTGACATGATAAATGTGGCAATGAGATTAGGTGTGTCAGAGTCAGTGAGACTGGCTTGGATAGGGCAGGGTTCAGAGGTATTGTACACAGACGTAACTCGACACACATAATAGCAATAACAAGAGCCCCAAACTAAATTTTAGACTCATAGTGACCCTAGTCTGACAGACTGGAACTATCCCCAATGGGTATTCTAGGCTGTGCAAGCAGATCATCAGTTGGGGTCACAAGCCAACCTTTTGGTGAGCAGCCCAGCACTTGAATATCGTGCCACCAGGACTCCTTGCCACAAGGGAATGAATTAAAACAAAACAAAGCAAAACAAAACAAACCACCAACATATTGCCATGGAGTTAATTCAGATTCACAGCAACCTTATAAGGACAGAGAAGAATTTCTCTACAGTATTTCCAAGGCCATAAAATGTATGGTGCCCATGTGGTGTACTGCATATATCGTGGACTGACAAATGAACAAATCTCTCCGGAATGAAGTAAAGTCAGAGTGCTTCTCAAGGCAAAGATGGTGAAACTTACTGTGGACATATTTTCAGGAGGAACAAATCTTTTGAGACATATATCATGTTGGGAAAACTAAAGGGTCTGCTAAAAGAGAAAGACCCTCAACAAGATGGATTGACACAACAGCCTGGAGTATGACGAAGATTGTGATGATGGTTCAAGGTTGGGCAAAGCTAAAATCTGTTGTTCCTAAAGTCTCCGTGAGCCATGGTAGATGCAAAAGCACCTAACAACCACCACAAACTTTATGGACACAGATTGTCACACCTTTTTCTTGTGTAGTAGTTTGTGGATTCATAGTACCCACGTTTTTGGCATGAGAATGCTTAAACACTGAGCCATCAAGGCTCCTTGACTTGAGTTCAGAGAATACTGTATACTTTTTTGTTAAATTAAATTCCTCTTGTTAATTTAGAATATGAACTGAAAACCCCATGGACACAACTATCATATTTTTCTAATACATGCATTATATGGCTTTTGCAAACTGTGTTTCTGGTATGTGCCATGTATGGTATACGTATGCACTTGGATATGCATGTGAGTGCTATTTATGTGGGCAAGCCACAGGCAAAAATACAATACTAACTCAGAGGTTTAATATATAAAGATGGGTTAAATAGAAAAATATTTTTTTAAAATGGAGTCTGATATAATTTCGGAGAGTCTAGAGAGCATTATTAAATAAGGATGACAGAACAACTGATGTCTTTTAGCTGTGGTGTTGGAGAAGAGCATTGAACATCCCATGGACTGCCAAAAGAACACACAAATATGTTTTGGAGAGGGTGCAGCTGGAGTGTTCTTTGAAGGCAAAGATGATGAGGTTTTGTCTGACATATTTCAGGCATGTTGCTAGAAGGGGCCATTCCTTAGAGAAGGACATGATGCTAGGAAAGGTAGAGGGTCAGTGAAAGAAAGGAAGACCCCCTGGCCATGTGGACTGACACAGTGACTGCTGCAACGGGCTCTGATGTGTCAGGAGGTGTGAGGATAGCACAGGATAGGACAAGGTTCAGTATTGTTCCTGTGGTCACTGTGGGTCATATAGCACCTAACAATTACAACAACAGAGAACATTATGCTGAGTGAAATATCTGTTACAGAAGGGCAAATATTGCATAAGTCCACTATTGGGGAAGATAGGAGGATAAATGAGCAAGAAAAGTAAAATGTTCAAAAGAGGAACGTAAGGAGGAGGGCAGGAAAAAAAAAAACCAGAAAGGGGGAATAAACTCAATGGGATAGCATTTCCCAGGAAAGGTTCAATGGGGTCTTGAAAAGATGGGATGGTAATGGACATAGAATAAGAGTAATTCATTATATAAAATATAATGTATATTAAAGAGTATAAAATACAAAGTACATATGAATGTACACAAATAAAAAAATGTGTTTTTTTTTTCTTAAAAAATAGTTTGAAACGTTCTGTACACACATGATACCATGTTTGCGGGCTGGTCTTGGGGTTAGACTCAGTTCAGCTGAGCATTTTTAAAGCAAAGATTGGTCCATGCCCTGAGTAATTTTGCTTTTATGCAAGCTTTTAAATAGATTCTGAAGGAGTATAAAGAAGAGTCTTGAAACTTGCAACAGCTGATGCGACCTCAGACATCAGGGTAAGGTGAGTGCTCAGGGGGCATCTGGCCTTCACGGCAGCTGCATCTGTTGCCAACACAACTGGGACAGAAAGAAGCAGAGCTATGCGACGGATGTCAGCAACAGCAGTTCTTTTATTGCCAGCATGCCCAAGTTACTCATTCTCAAGAAGAAATGATTGAAAATTCATGGAGTGTTTAGGAAAAAAAAATTAACTTTGATGACATTTCACTACTCAAATATATATTAGGGATTAAAATGTAGAAATAGGCAGGCTATATAAGAAGGCTGCAAGATGTCAGGCAGGGAACAATGCTGCCTCATAAATCTTTATGGATGCATTGCATATGGTCCATAACGCATGGCCCAGTAAAGCCATAATACTCAAAATGGAAAATGTTACATATTAATATACTCTGGTCAAGAAGTAAGGCCTAGCTTTCCTGCAAAGCAGAAAAAATTAACTTTGTTTTTAACAGAAACCAGTCTCCAAGGAATTGGCTTTAACCCATGGAGAACACTAGAGCCAAAAAAGGTACCTAAGGGAGTTTTCAATACTCAATGTCTGGAAATAACTCAATGCACCTTTCTTTCAAGGTGCCTCTGGGAAGACCTGAACTTCCAAATTTGTAGTTAGCAGTTAAATGTGTTGATAATTTATACCACTCAGACTTGGTTTTTTAGTTGTTGATTTTTTTCTTTTTTTACACTGTTGTCTTCGTTCTTTCTCTGTCATTTCCTTTACCCAGTCTGTATTAATTCCTTCTTAGTTTTAAGCTTCTTTTGGGAAATTGCTCTAATAACACACTGACATAAGGGTATCGATGAACTTGTTCTTAAACTGCATGTGATCCTTGGTAAGAATTATGGCTAAACTGGTTACAGCTAAGCTAAGAGGGAATTGATACTAGTCTGACT